ACCTGTGTATGAAAGATTTTATTACTTTTTCCTTACACTTTCAAACAAGTTCCTGTGTTCTCATAGAGTACTCCGTTCAACAGACACAGTAGCACATGCTCAGTCCTAAAGAATTTTATAAACAGTATTAGAAAACTTGCTTTAAGGTTTTACATAAATGCATCCTACTTAAGGCATTTTGATTCTCAAAATCTAAAGGTGACAATTATGTGTATATTTACAGCATATGTCTTGGTTACTCTGTATATTACATTTAAACTTACATTTGTACACATGGAAAACAAAAAAATACATTGTATATTTTCATGAAATCTACAATCAAATTAAAATAGAAATCCTAAAATGCATGACTTATCACAATTACAATCACAACCTCATAATTTTAAATTAGGATAAAGGAAACTAATGAAAGGACATTCATTTGCTATGTACATACAGAATGTACATAGCACATGTGTGGGTTTGTAGTGTGTGCATGCATTTGAGAGTGTGTGTGTGTGCCCGTGTGATAGCGTACATGTGTGAGAATGAGAGTGAGTGTGTGCAAGTGTGCAAGTGTGCATGTGAGAGAGAGAGAGAGAGAGAGAGAGAGAGAGAGAGAGTGAGTGAGTGAGTGAGTGAGTGAGTGAGTGAGTGAGTGAGTGAGTGAGTGAGTGAGTGTGAGTGAGTGAGTGAGTGAGTGAGTGAGTGAGTGAGTGAGTGAGTGAGTGTGAGTGAGTGTGAGTGTGTGTGTGTGTGTGTGTGTGTGTGTGTGTGTGTGTGTGTGTGTGTGTGTGTGTGTGTGTGTGTAAGTCTAGGTGTGTATACATAAATGTGTATGTGTATATTATCATACAAACTTTCAGAATATTTTATTTCCATGCTGAGAATCCTCAGTAATAATACAGCAATCTATATTCATAACTACATGATAACCATTACATGTCTCATATCCTGTCTTATTATAAAATTATTTTCAGGTGTAAATTCCTATATAAATGTATTGCTTTTGGCAATCTATCAAAATATATGATACATCCATTTCATATACGAAAATTCTTAAATTATCCCTTAACATCTAGATACAGCTTCTAAACATCTGCAGTTTTAGAATGGAGAATTCATCCCTAACTTTGTACCAAATTCCAGTCTTGCTCGCTTCTGATATCGAACATTGACTCTGTGAAGGAGAAAACACAAAAGTTAGTAACTGTCACTATCCCAACATATGAAAATAGTCATATACAAGTAAGAAGCATTGTTATGCCTTGTATTATGGAATAAAACAAAGATGTGAGAACACATCTGACTGGAAATACATATATATAATAACTATATACACATTGGGAGTGGCAGGCTGGTAGCACATAGGTGCTACTGCATGCATGTCTACCATCAATGAAAAACAAATCTCCCAAAAAATACCTGATTTCTTCTTTTTAATGACTTCATTGAGAGGAATTACAAGTAGTGGCCACACAAATGCTATGAGCCACAACCATGGTGGAATATCTGCTAACCCAGGACCACTTGGCTCTGAGGATGAACACAGTGATGCTGAGATGCTTCCATATACCACCTGCAGCACTAGTCTGTAATAGCAGAAGTCAGAATGATAATAAATTACACTACTTCAACCCTTTTTTGTCACTTTTAACATCTGCAAATGTCTTTGACTATCCTTGATTAAAACTAGATATAAATCCCAACTTTTCTATTACATTACATAGTTCTTTTATCTGCATATATAGTAGTTACTGGCTGCACATGTTACAATCATCAATATAATTTCATGTGACTATTAAGTGTTCAGTCCTGTTCTGTTCTGAGTACGTATTATGTATGATTTATATTGATGCTTAAAATATCAAATATGATTCAGAGAATGTATGCAGCTGTAGAATTCTCAAATATTTGCCACATAGGGCAATACTCACACTACAAAGACACTGGAAGCCCACCACCTATTTTTCAGAGGATTTTTCCTCCATAACTGGTACATGCGGTGCACAAATGAAACAGAAATCACACCTGCAAAATTGTAAGACATCAAATATATGATAAAGCAGTAATGTGTAAATTTCCAATAGGCAACAATCACTTCCTCCTTGTTGTCATGGCAGGCATACTTTCTTTTGTATTCACCAAATCAATCAAATTTTCATTAGAACATTTATATTGTTATGAAGCACAACAACTTTGCAAGGAACACTATTTATAATTTAAATCCAGTATATTCAGATTATCTAAGAATGAGACAGGCTCATATTCAGAGACACTTGGGACACCTTAGACCAGGAGTATCAACAACAGGCCAATTTTCCCTTCAGATACCATCCTGAGGACCAACAAAGGTTCATACCTGGCTTCCAAGGATTATGTTACTAAAACTAGTACTATGTACATGTATGTAAAGTTTAGATTTTAAATGGTAATACACAAATAGTAACAAATTGTATATGATGTTACTTTCCTTCATGGCAATCATAATTTCACAGGCTATTAGGGGACACAGTCAGACCATGAACCATGAGTATGACACCACTGGGTTATTTCATTCATTACAGAAATACAATAATAGAAAAAAATAAGACTACTGGCTTAATCAATCAAGTAAAAGGGCCACCCATTAGGCTGAAATAGCAAATGTGCCACAGGTTGCGTGTTTGACACCTTTGGCTTAGACAGAGATCCGGACCAGCTTCTTGCACTTGTCAGCCAATTACTGTTGGCTATGGCAAAGAACAGCTCGAAATGCTTGGCTGACAGGCACAAGACACAAGTCTGGCTCTCCATCTAAGGTTTCTTAAGTGTCTCTGATGAGTGTTAATCTTATAATAATGGCTTTTATCCATCATCATCAGGCACTGAGTGCAGTCAGTTACTCAAGTAAATTAGAAATACAGGAAACCTGTATTCCCTGCTGCAGGATATATAATTTTTCAAAGAGACTTTAAGCCTACTTTTCAGGGCTGTACCTCCTAACTGACTGCATGCAAGGCCAAACAACCAAATACCTCTCTAGTGCACACAACATAGAGGAAGTCACCAGAGTCAACAAGCATATGGGCTTTGGGCATCATTGCATCATTGCAAAATACCACTTGGTGCGAATGGGTTATTAAGATAATTAAGGCATTGAAATATCAACTGATTACTTACAAAAGTAAAGAACAATGAGAAAAGCTACACCATTCTGTACTGCATTAAGGGAATCTAAGTACTGATCGCCCCATCCCTTCCATGAGCTCTGCTCCTCACGCTTTGTACTGAAAATAAACAGAAGAGGATATCATTTGCTATAATCTGATGCTTGTTGTAATCCAACAAGGTTTGCCAAAGCTCTTACAATGAATTCAGTTCCATGTTCATAGCTGTACTAGTAGTTTGCATTTTCCACTATGTATCTAATAGTAAATATGGAAAACAAACTATAAACATAAAAATAGGTGGAAATTACCCCACTATCGGGATGCAACCTAATAATCTATTTTCTATTCACTAGTATTTTATGTACAATGGAGAAATTGATAGAATCTCACACATATGATGCAAGAAATAAATAGCCTCTAAATATTAACAAACCAGTATGTGCATCTTTTAACTTACTTGTTTATATAACCATATACAAGAGGAAATGAAATACTCGTCTTATGTGTGGTACCTGTTAATATAAATTTTAGGAACTTCATCCGGATAAATGTAAGTGCAGGAGGTATTGTGATGGCTAGCTATATCTCTGCAGAAGCTCTCAAGTGTCAATCCACCGCACAACAAAATTACCGCCACAGAGGGAACAAACTTGCAGATGTAATATAAGAACACATAACGGACCATCTGGAGAAAGTCAAAAGTAAATTACATTTTGTACAGAAATTACTTTTCATACACAAAAAAGTACATTTTTTCTCATACATAAATTACATATCCAGACCAACAGATTCTGTTTACATAAATCTATTACACGTAGTAATGTGATCTATTCATTCGCTTTCACACACAAATGAATATACACACACATGGAAACTGTACCTGTTTATTAAGCACAACAGAATTTTTCCCTGTGGCCTGATTCATGACGGCAGGGTTTGTCGGAGCGGCAACGAGAGAAACTGACAAGATGGGAATCACGACACACACCAGCCAAACAATGTCACCTAAAATAAAACAAAAACAAACATTGCCTTTAATCTAAAAAACTAAAATACATAAATTTGCATAGTTTTACGTTTATAAATACATGTAAACATAAATTCCATTAGTACAAAAATACTCTTTAGCAAACTTAGGATCACACAGATATTCAACTCCATTTAAATCAGACTAGTTTTTGCACTGTGAGCTTTTCAAGTAAAATTCTTCACTAGGGATGTTTGTATAATAACCCCGTGCCATTAGGAAAATGTAATGTTCACTGTACTGTTTTGCAAAATGTGAGCGTTCAGCCACCAAGGAGTCAATTCTTGAACTCGCCTGACTTCCACTTTCCTTGCATTTTCGTGAAGCAAGTTCTTTTACCTAATCCTATTAACATTGATGCTGTTAATATCATAGTATCCACTATAATTATTAAAACATTATTAACATTACTGATAGCAATATAAGATGAAAGAGAATGTTTCTGGAAATCATAGAAAAGGCCAAATAGGTGAGATAGATAGTACTAGTAATTGACTCCTTGGTGACTAAGTATTTGTGGAGACAATCTATGTGTATATATAATTAATGAACTAAACTCAAAGTGGGCATGGCATAGGTACAGCTGCACAGAAAAATATTGTTAGAATACCACGCTCAACATTCTGACATAAGAAATGATACTTTTTGAAATATAGTTGTTAGCAATATGAAACTGTTGGCATCCCTGATTTTCTAACTATTCTGGGGTATTTGTGACATATCTGAATATTGCAAGGCATATTCCATACCTTATGGAAATAAAATAATCTCACAGTGAATCCATACGAATTCCGGAACGACTATTCATGACATGAATCAGAACAAGATGAATTTGAAATAAAAAATACTAGCCCTTCTGTAACATAAGGTTCTGTTCATTATTGAATGTTTCGAGACCCCTCCTAATGATAGTTTTCTGTGTTGCTGTACATACGTGCCCTCCCCAGCAGCATTGGATTAAAAGTATGGGACTGGATACTATACCTGATGAAAGTAGTGGAGGAAGAGCAGCTGTGGCAGCTAAAAGTTGCAGGATAGTTAATGAAACACAACAACAAGACCAAAACTGCAGACAGCTCACTACCTGTTGCATGTAATGCCGTGACTGTCAAAAGAAGGAAACAAACAAAGACCTCATGAAACCTGTGTTTTCTGATAGCTCTTACTAACTATCGCCAAGATTGCTCCTATGACCCTTCTAGTCAATCATTCTATGAGTCAAAAAGTTTTTTCTTCCTTGAAGTTACATATACATTATTCATCTATTCATATCAATTCATCTTGGTTCAGTTACTGGTCAACATGTCTTGTGACCAAATAAGACACTGAATTCAACCATTTTTAAATAATTTTTATCTGGTGTTCATAATTTCTTTTTAATCATTTAACAAAATTTTAAAAATAAGCCTAATATAAAGTGTAAATCTTCATATCAACTACTATGTCCTATATCAAATTCATACATATACTTATGCATTTGATATTTACCTCCATGATAAGATGCACAAGAGACACTTTATCATCACGGTGGAAAGAGAGGGAGCAGGGAAGGGAGTTGAGGATACGCGCAATATCTGTAGGTGAAGGTCCCTTAGATGGCGGAGGTCGCACAAATACTGGCTCTCGCATGCAAACTTGTGGATACAGTGGATCCACTGATAAGCTGAAAAATAAGAATGGCTTCAGCTGTAAAACCTGATCTATAAATATTCATAATCGTATTTTCACGTATGTGTTCATTATATTAAGGGGCGGTCACACAAGTCTATTCTGTCCAGGGATCCCAAGACAGAATGGGTTGCTTCCTAAACTATAATATAATTACTGGTAAACTAACTACTTAAAATCCTAAAAAAATATTATATCAAGTTAAAAATAATTGACCTCTTTAAACAATAAAATACATTGTATTAAAAAATGATGTCACATCAACTTTTATAGATAAAGCAGATAAATGTTCATTTGACCAACAAATATAAGCATTAACCCACTCAGACACACCAAAGACATGGAGGGCTCTTCAGAAGATATTTACGCCTTGTTGGATAGAGTGGAATACCAATCTTAAAGATTATAAAAGCAAGAAAAAGAATGTTAATGGATGAAATAAGCAAGGAACTTCGTCATGAACATTGTGAATGCTGGACTGAGATGATGGTTCTCTCTGAGGTCCGAGGGGATATTTATTGTGTAGTGTGACAAATCTCAGCTGTACCTGACCAGATTTCAACAAGGCTGTCTAGGGATCATGGGACAGAGAAGACAAGTGCAACTGTCACTTTAGTCATTTTACTTGGAGAAATAACCAAAAAAGAAAAACACTCAACCTTACAGAAATACTAATTTTACACACTCTTATACTGAAATTATTTACGTAAAGAAACTATTTTGTACCTTGCATCAGCTTGCATAAAAAGGCGAATATTATCAGCATTCGCAGATGATCCCATTACCATGACCACCTCTGTGTATTCCTGCATTATGGACAACATCGCACGAGTGGCTGGGGGTGTGCAGTCTGTGAAGAGCGACACTAACAAGGGAACATTATCCACATTCTCAAGATGTGGCTTGATGTTTTCAATTCCTTTTGGGAGTCGAGCCTGAAATATAAGATCAGTCTTGCAGTTCTTTCTGTCACTTAAATAACTTAAATATCTCATTATCAATATTCTCATTTGAACATTCTGATGAATATAATCACACACACACACTCACAATCACACACACACACACACACACACACACTCACACTCACTCACACACTCACACACTCACACACACACACACACTCACACTCACACACACACTCACACTCACACTCACACTCACACACACACTCACACTCACACACACACACACACACACACACAC